TAATACAAGTGGTAATATCACAAGTGACTTGCGCTTATACAGATTAGTTATTTCTTATGCTAAAACTTGCAAACGTTAAAGTAGCATATCTTTATAACAAACTCAGTTGTTTATACGCAAGTAGGGTTGATATCATAAATGATTTTATAATGTTGTTACCTGGTTGTCTTTACTATTCCAATCCCGACATACATGTCCAAACCGACATACAACACATCATAATGAATCCGGTACTGAAACAACTATGTCTTAATTACTTTCCACTATCACACGCATGTATATTAATCGCAAAACAAACATAGTTACTGACTGCGTTTATTGTATGCGGACATGTCTCCTAGATATGATAGTGTTTTGTCACGAAGTTTTACCACTTGAAACTGAACCTGAACCTGAACCTGAACCTGGATCAAGAAAACCTTCTTATTGATTAAATTCGAGCTTTTCTCGATGATAATTAGCTGTTACATGAATCGAATGATTCATTCCTTATATGTTGAATTCCGATTACGCAAACAAGGTTTCATTTATTTAAGTAGCAGTAAGTCGAATTCGGTAGATTGAGTGGGAAAAAATATGGAATGACATAGGCATTTCCAACTTGTGGAACAGCTGATTCGAATACTTCAAAATTTCTAACTGTTTTCTTTGGTATTGGAAAGGCCTTATTATCCAGATAAAGCTGGAGGGGGTTTCGCTGTGTGCTTTGTCATATTAATATGATATAGTGGTTTGTCTCACATTAAGCCATTTTATTTGCTCAATATCTCGATACCGGAAAGCTCATTCAGAAGTCACAGGACCGCCAAATTCTTTTGTGGCATCCAATACATATAATGCCAGTCAAAGTTATCTTCCATTGTTGTAAATAATTTTGGCGCATTCTAATGTCGTTTATTGATACCGATAATGGACACAAATCATCGTTGCGTTGCTGTCCATCCTCTTACTCTTGAACTGAGACGATGATCGTATCATCGTTTATGTCAGATTTCTCCAAACTTGAATCAATATTAATGTTGGCTGCATCCGTTTGATTAAAATCGATTGCATGGTATTTCCAATATCTTCTTCAGCTCAGTTAACGTGCTGTCGTCTTCGGGGGGTACATACCAGTTTTTTTCGCTAATCATGATGTACGTCACTTACATTTTCCATGGTCGCCAGTCCAGTTTATCGCACGAAAATATTTACAGTAACGTCAAAAGTATTCTACCGCCAGTATCACTTGAATGTACATAATAATAAGCCCTTTTGAAGTTTAAGTTCGAAATAAGCGAATGCGATTTTGATATGTTTTCATACGTTTTCGAAGCAAAATATCCATGTTTGGAAAATTTGCTGGAGACATCTGCTCGAGCTGAAATTTTACGCATTGTGTTAAACTTTTTTCTGAAAACTTTAAGGGTTATTATCATGTACGTTCAAGTGATACGTACTTTTGCATGTTACTGTAGGCGCAAACTCATAATTTCCGTACAAATAATTAGCAGCCAAATAAGAGTAAATACTCTTTATAAAGATATTATACCCAGCTCCTCGCTTTACATAACAGAGATTGAATCAGCGTGCGTGGCGTGGGCTTTGAGGTTGCTGCCTAATCCTATCCCAAGATTGGTGATAGTGGTATCGGATAATGTAGTTTATCATTACTAAACTTTCATTCTCCTCCAACTGATGAGATGGCGCATTGTCCATCGTCAACAAAATGGGTCTTTTCTTTCGTCGCATTTCATGATCGCAAAAAACATCAGTCCCGAATTGTTCCAAAAATATAATGCGGAAGATGTTCTGTTCTTTTATGTTGTTAACGAAAGCATCGAGGATTTAAAATTTGTAAATAAAAATTACTGGTAATTTATGGATTTCATGTTGCATTGTATGCAAGCATAATTTTTATCCAATCTTTGGATTTTTTGGTCCTAGTAACAAGTTACGGGGTAAGAGATTTTGTCTCCCATAAAACCCGGTTTTGTTTGTACTGCATACGTTTTCTAAATCATATTTCTGGTTTCACTTGCTGCTTCTCCTGGTTACAGTGTTTTTAATAATATTTTTTTGATAATTACGTAATTAACATCAACCGCTGATGTGTTGATTGAACATTTTGAACTAGTGTTACGCCAGTTACTGTATGTTAGTAAGATTAATCCACATAACTAACGCGTATTTGTATGTTTGACCATCTACCGTGAATAAGCACTCATCGTAAATAAGCACCCCCAAATTAACTGCATGACGTGCCCCCCACTCACAGTTCATTACGTGAGTATGCAAAATAATAGTACGCTTCTAGTTACTGCAATTATTGTTGTAAGCTGCCCCTCAACGCTGTTGTGAATTATACTTTACGTAATTATTTGCCGATTATTTTAATAATGTCGATAGGAGTTGATGATCCTATCGTGAATAAGCACCCTTCACTATGATAGGGTGGGTGCTTATTCACAGTAGTATACGTATCAAATTTTTCTGTAATTGGAAACTAGGTTCCCTTTCTTCTGAGAATATAGCCCATATTATTTACCGATCATGTAATGACGTTAAGTGCTTTTATTTTGGTGGGCAGTTTGTATTTACATAAAGTTTTTGTAAAAGTTTTCAATTTAGTTCCTTCCTTTACTAAAGTTTTCATACGTGTTAACTACAATATAGGTTTTTTTGATTCTATTATGATTATAATAACAACACTTTTTACTTATATAAAAAAGTCTTTGGTTTTTCTAGCGACATCATTCTTTTACTATGATGACACTTGCGAATTACAGTACCTCAGGAATATGAGATAGCAAAATGATCTGCAAATTGAATCATTGGTTGTGGGTAGGAGAAGAAGGTTCAGCATTATATGAACGCATACCGATTTTACCAATATTAATATGTTTAATTGTTTATAAGATTTACCATACGCGATTGAATATCACCGTTCTAACACATATTTTAGATCTACCATTTAACCAAGTTTTATGTCAAAAAGAAAAATGCCAGCGATTGTAAAAATTCCGAGACTGTATCTGAATACCAGGCTATTGTCATATACCTCCGGTCAGATACTATATTCGTTGATATCCGAAGGTTTTTATTCGTAGATGCAAAAGTTTGATTCACACGTTCAGATGTGATACAGTCTATGCAATTGGTGTTCGAGACCCGTTTGCATGAGAATACAGGATACTTATAATAGTCAACTAACATTGGTGCACGCGTAAAAAGTTTTCTCATTCACATGGCTTTGTTTTCAACGCCAAATTATCGATCGCGCTCATAAACAAAAACTTGTATTAAAGCACAAAACGACGACATTCTTTATCTTTCACTTTTCTTTTATTCACATAATGGTTTCAAGTACGATATGGAGACTAAATGAGAAGTTTTAAATTTTGACAAGACCTTACTTGGAGTAAGCGTTCAGAAACTAATTTTGTTATTTGTATATACTTTGTTATTGACTCTTTAGCATTATAGCCTCATACCAGTTTAATTTATGGAACTTTGACATTCCATGTGAGTATCCACACATCTGATATTTTGTTTCTATTCGGTTTCTACTTTCTATCCTTAACTTACTAAAATCGTCTATTTCTATGCATTATTTCATTCGTTTCCGATCTACTAATCGTTAACTTCTACAAAATTTTCTAACTTACTAAACTGCTTATTTCTATCATACTAAATTGTTCGCTTTTGACTTGCTAAAAACTGTAACTGATTATTGTTTGTAATTACTACAAATATCGGTAAATAAAGATCCATACAATTGAAGGCAATCAATGATTTACATATCTATGTGTGACAAACTATAATTAGGTGAGACAAATGTTTACGTGATCGAGTAACCTACTGACTGACTATTAATTACGTAATAAATTTGTGATCACGAGCGTTTCAGCTTCAGCCCCCACCAGGGAGAGCTAAAACTCAAAGGAGACAGTGAAGGACTAATGAGTGAAATATTTGCCACCGATGCTTATCAACATAAACATGCTGCCTAATCATTTTCATCGATTCTAGTGAAAATAACCAATTGTTTTAGGTACACGAAATTTGGAAACGTATAAACCACTTGGTTCAAACCGAATTGCTCTTCCTTGCCATATTAATATGTTAGTCAATTCCTCATTATCATACATTTGACACAATCGTATTCGCAAATCTATAATGCAAAATAAATGTTCACATGACAACTACTTTAATAAATCTCAATATTTAATAAGTTAAATAAAATAAAATTGTAAGTTATTTTTAACAAATTGCCGAAAATGCTTGTTATCGATTTTTCATTTGTGCTAGCGTCGATCTTGTCTCTCGTTACACTAGCAAATCAAACGTACTATAATAAACATAAGTCTAGATCAAATTCAATAAGATTCGATACCAAATCTTTTTATGCTCAAGCGCACATAAACCATCCATGTTGCATGACCCTACTCACTGACTGTGGTCGGTGGTTAGGATCTACCTTCAACATCCACTCTATTAATTCAACGCATTCGTTCGACGGTCGATTATGTCTGCTAAACATAACTCGACCTAATGCCTTGGATTTTACCTGCTCTTCGTGATATGGCTTGACTGCTTCAAAAAGTTGATAAAACACAATTCCAAGTACCCATATTTGTGCCGTTGATAGTTCGTAGGGCACGTAGTGGTCATACATTTCCGGAGGAAATACTGAATTGAATAAATTGAATAAGGAGTGGATTGTTTTGGGTTACACATTATTTCAATCCCGATTAGGAATTAGATTTGACATTCACTCACTTGAACCAGTTCTCCCAAAGCCTATCTCTCCTTCGACTGCCAATCCAAAATCGATTAGTTTTATATTACCTTCGCCATCGACGACTACGTTGTCCAGCTTTAAGTCGCAGTGATAAATCCCATGTTTCTCTAAATGATTACATGCCGACAGTAACTGGTGCATAATTTTCTTTACTTCATTTTCCGTTAATCCTCGCTTTTCTCTACCTTTTGCAACATCTGTTAAATAATGTTTTAAAGTTGATTTGGGTTTATCGTTGCCATATCCGTGATAATCAAACACGAAAATCCAATGCTTTGGAAATGCTGCTGCCCATTCGATAAACGGAATGATATTCGCATGTGATGGAATTTTTTGGAAAAGAGCTGCTTCTTTTGGAACTTTTATCCCATTGTACAAAACCGTCTTTGCCATGGATGCTTCAACAATTTTTATAACCACTGGACGATGAGTTAATTTTTCTTCTCCATAGAATACGCTCCCAAATGTACCCGACGCTAATTTTGAGTAGAGAGTGTATGCTGCAGAGATCTGGGGAGGTAGCATAACGTTTACACCTCTGTGAATAGCTACTTGGTCTTGAAGATATCGAATTCAATATTTGATAAATTAAGGGTGTTGGCGATTAACTATTAAATGATTACGATTACTTACTCGACTCGGAATAAGAATTATTGCGTGGGATTTCTCCAGCAACCCATTCACTGAGTGGCATATTATCGCATATTGTAGTTTTCTCCATGTCTTCTGCGAGCCATAATCGTTTCAGACTGTCAGCTGCGAGTGTATTTATACGTATTATGGTGTAACCTTACAAGCAATAAAAAAACCAATGCTGTTAGCTCAACGGTGGCACTCTGGGCGCCCTTTACGTGTATAAGGAAACCCCATTAACTGAAAATACGTCTCAAAAACATTTTGCCGCTTATGTTTCACAAACGTTAACTAAACTACTTCGTATTCGGAGTGTTAAATTTTTTTTCCTTGATGGAAAAGAAGCTCAACCCAGAACTTTGGAGGGCTCGGAATTCCATTGCGACGGGGACGATGCTATGATTCTTTTCGATCCCGACATTTGTCCAATGATAATAAAACCAAGAAGCTAGTTGTTAGACCCCAACGTTTTTTGGTAAATTCCATGACACATTGGCAGGAACTATTATTAATCAGTTTGTGTGGAATAACTTGGTGAGTATCAACAAATATTA